TAGGACTCTTACCAAGACCACTGTGGATGGTGATGGTTGTACAAGTCTCTATTCAGAACCTGCAGTTTGAAACTGGCTCAGGGCAAAGAAAAACACAAAAGGAATATATGGGTTTTTTAAACAACAAGTGCTCCCCTAATAAGCTTACCAGGTTATGCCAAGAAATCTGGAAGACAACTACCTGGCCAACTGACTGAATGAAATAAATAAAAAAAAGGTGACCCAACAGAGGGTGGAAATTATTGAACAATATCACTAATATCACATGAAAGCAAGATCCTGCTGAAGATTATCCAAGAATGATTGGAACAGTACATCAGCAAAGAGCTACCAGATGTTCAAGCTGGGTTTAGAAGAGGTCATGGCACTAAGGTTATTATAGCTAATGTTAGATAGATCTTGGCTGAAAGTAGAGAGTACCTGAGGAATGCCTATTTGTGTTTCATTGACTGTGCAAAGGTTTTTGACTGCATGGATCACAACAAACTGTTGCTAATCTTCAGAAGAATGGGGATCCTTAAACACTTTATTGTGCTCATGTGAAATCTGAACTTGGACCAAGAGGCAGTAGTCAAAAGAGAGAAGGGATACATCAGGAAAGGTGCGCGTTGGGGATGTATCCTATTTCCGTACCTTTTCAGTCTATATGCAGAACAGATGATCCAGGACTATATCTTATACCATCCTCATAATATCTGACATGCTCAAGCCCATTTTTTACAATCACTGTATCAATCCACCTCTTTGCCCTTCCATCTTTCCCAGTATGTCCTTTTCCAGCATCTGGTCCCTCCTGATAACATGTCCAAAGTATGTGAGACAAAGTTGTACCATCTTTGCCCTCTAAGGAGCACCCTGGTTATGCTTCTTTCAAAACAGACTTATTTGTTCTTTCAGTAGTCTATGGGATATTCAGTACTATTCTTCAACATCACAATTCAGAGGCATCAATTCTTCCATCATCCTTATTCACTGTCCAACTTTCAGATGCATAGAAAGATACTGAAAATACCATTGCTTATGTTCGGCACACTTTAGTCTTTACACTGACATCTTTGCTGTTCAGTACTTTGCATAGATAATTGACAGTATATTTCCCCAGTACATGTCTTTTGATTTCTTAACTGCTGTTACCATGAGTGTTGACTGTAGATTCATGTAAAATGAAATTGTTGACAATTTCAAGCTTTTCTCCATCTATTATGGTGATGGCTACTGGTCCAGTGGTACGGATTTTTGTTTTCTTGATGTTGAAGTGTATCCATGTTGAAGGCTATATCTTCTACAGCAAACGTTTCAAGTCCTCTTCAGTTTTAGCAAGCAAGGTGGTGTTACACACATAATGCAGGCTGTTGATGAATCTTCCTCTAAAACTGACAACACATTCTTCTTTAGCTTCTCAAATGATTTGTTCAGCATACAGATTTAATAGTTATGGAAGGCACTTCTTATTACATATAATAATGGTACAACAGTATAATGGTGCTAATGGTATAATAATGGTGGTTGTTATGTGCCATAGAGTCGCCTGCAATTCATAGCAACTCTATGTACATTAGCTCTTAAACCTGCCCTATTCTGAGTCAATCTCACTGTCTCCAACAGATCTAATTCCATTTCTCCAGTCACTGAGTCAATCCATCTTATCCTGGGTTTTCCTCTCCCGCACTGTCCCTCTATCCTTTCAAGCATGATGCTCTTCAAAGGACTGGACCCTCCTGGCCAGGTGCTGATATTGTCTCTAGGAAGCAGATTGGTTTCACTTTCTCCAGGACACATTTGTTTGTTCTCTTAACAGTCCATGGTATGCTCAACATTCTTCTCTAGTACCACAACACAAAGACATCGATTCTGCTTCTATCATCCTTAGTCACTCTCTATCTTTCTGATGCACAGCAAGTAATTGTGAAGACCATGGCCTGGAGGTGGCGCACTTTAGTCTCCAGACTGACACTATTGCTCTTCAGTACTCTAAAGAGGTCCCTGACAGCAGGCTTTCCCAGTGAAATTTATCTTCTGATTTCCTGACTGCTGGTGCCAAGATTGTTGATTGTGGAAACAAGCAACTTGAAGCTGTTAACAATCTCTTCTTCATCTATCATGAAGCTGCCAATTGGCCCAGTGGGAAGAATCCTTGTTTTCTTGACATTGATCTTCAATCCATATTGAAGATTACAGTCTTTGACCTGTAGCAAATGCCTCAGGTCCCCCTCAGTTTTGTCAAACAAGGTTGTCATCTGCATAACTCAGGTTGTTGATGAGTCTTCCTACAATCCTGATGCCACATTCCTCCTCAGAAAGCCTCATGACTGACCATTATGCTTTTATAATAACTGTATGAAATATGTTTACGGCATTGAAGTCTATGGGGGAGAGAATAGTCTAAAAGTATTATATTTTAGGGCATTATTTTTATCGTAGGAGTACGCAATGAGGGTTGCAGAGTGGATTATATTTGGGGGTAGGGGATGGGGTTTGGGGAGGTGCGGGGGGATTGTATACCAATGAGGGAGTTTTTCTTTTGCTTTTCAAGGAGAGGAGCAAATGGTGGGGGGAGGGGTTTGTGCGGGGAGAAGGGTGCAACAATGAATGAATGGAATTCCAAAATCTCTGTAGGTGTTCGTTGAAATGAAAAATAAACAAACTAAATTAAAATTTAAAAAAAGCATAATGGTCATGTTGTTACGTGCTGTCACTAGGTAAACTATTGTTTGATTTTAAGATGATTTCAGGGTAGAGTCCCCACTGTGCATAAGCCTGTGCTTCAGTCCATCTCATTGTGGGACTTCTTCTCTTTCTTGGCTCTGTATTAGCACAATGTCCTTTTCTAAGGGCTGATTCTTCATAGCATAGGAATTGAGCAGTGAATATGAGCCACACATTGTGAATTTTTATGTTTTGTAGTTCCTTTTAATCTATATGTTCTCTCCTTTAAGTTGCAGTTTATATGCTGAAGAAATGGAAGTGTTTACCAAGTAGAGTTCTACTTCACATTTGGATTTTATTGATTGTATCCTTGTGGTATCATATAACATGATTTTCATCCCTTTGTCTATCTTATTTCCTACAGTCTGGAAAGTCTAGCTCATGGCTTGTTGTTGTGTATGTCCATCAGGAAGGAATAATGGCATCTTGCTTCTGCTTTTGTGGTATTAGCAGATGTTGATGTTAATTGTCAGACTACGGTATTTCAGTATAAATGGCAAAGTTGTAATATTCTGTCATTTTTTACTCTTTAATTAGCAGGAAAATGTCTGTAAATATAAAATATTATACCTTAGCTACCCACATACCTGTGATAACCTTTTCCCAGGAAAGACTAGATAACTAGTTTTTAGTATCAGTCGTTTTCTTGACAGTGTCCAAAACTTTGAGTCAGTTTCTTAGTCTTATCAAAGGTTATTCACAAAAGGTGTTGCTTAGTATCATTCTGTATTCATGAATTTTAACATATTTAACATATTTCATTCCATTGCAGTTGCTATTCTTTTTTTTAATTTTTATTTTTTTGTATTGTATTTTTTGTGTTAGGGACCTCTCTAAAGTACTCAGGAGCAATGGTGTCTCTCTGGAGACTAAGGTGCGCCTGATACAGGCCATGGTCTTTGCAATTGCTTGTTATGCATCAGAGAGTTGGACAATGACTAGGGAGGACAGAAGGAGAGTGGATGCTTTTGAGCTGTGGTACTGGAAAAGAGTACTGAATGTACCATGGACTGCCAGGAAAACAAACAGATTCATCTTGGAGAGGATTAAACCAAGCTACTCCTTGGAGGCAAGGATTCTGGGGCTTCGTGTGACATACTTTGGACATGTTGCCAGGAGGGACGGGTCCTTGGAGAGGGACATCATGCTTGGGAGGGTGGAGGGACAGCGCAGGAGGGGAAGACCCTCTATGAGATGGATTGACTCGGTGACTGGGGTAATCGGGATGGGTGTGTCAGAGGCAGCGGTTGGCGCAGGATAGAGCAGGGTTTAGGGCTGTTGTGCATAGGGTCGCTATGAGTCACAGGCGACTCGACGGCACATAACAACAACAATAACAACCATCAAATTGGGTCTGACTGGTGCAGGAGGAGATTGCCCCTCCTTCTCCAACAGAGCATCTGGTGGATTTGAACTTTGTGCCTCTGGGATTGCAGTGCAGCTTCTTGCCACTGCAGTTGCTATTCTAATTGACATGTTGACTCCTGTGTCTTTCTGACATTGCCCCAGTAGTGGTCTCGAGTTCTTGCTTTCTGGTATGACAAGATGATCTAGGCTCATTTTCTCTCCCAGGTCTAGAATCAGCTCTTTTTCAGTAAACTCTGGTTTCTTCTAGTAGATAGTTTTCTTTAGAGACCGTAAGCTGGATGCTAAGGTGAAATTTGTTTTTAATTTTATATACTTTTAAAAAACACTCAATTGCTTGAGTTGAAACTTGCTCATAGCTGACCCTCCATTAGGTTTCCAAGGCTTTAAATCACAAGAGAAGAAATAGCCTACCTTTCTCTAACCAAGGCCCTGGTGGATCCAGCCCAGCAGAGAGGTATAGCCACTGAGGTAGCAATGCAGCAGCTTCCTGCAGACAACTCCCTAGCTGAGCTCTTCTGAGTTCATAAAATTGATGGTAAAATAAAAGTCACAGAGTTAGTTATATGATTGCTAAAGAAGAGGTAAATTTGTGCTACTAGTTCTATATCAATAGAGAGAGGAAAAAAATACTGAGCTAACTGGTAAATTCTTTCTAACTTATTTCAAGGTTTTATGAGTTGTGGAAATCACGTTGGAGGGGATGCATTGATCTCTCTAATGTTTGTCAGCTTTGTACTCACCTTTCTTAAGTGATGAGTTCTTATCAAAGATTATATCAAGAAATCACATTGCCGTGAGAATCTTTCAATGAGCAAATCCATGGAAAATGCCCCAGTGGGGAACATAACCACCAGATAGGTTTGTTTTTCCTACAACTGGTATTAAAATCCAAAACCACTGAATTATGTATGCTTTTTGTTTTTCAGCCTCTGAGATCCAAATGATGACCCTTCCCCCTGGTCAGTTTGTGATTACAGATAGTGGTGTGGCAGCTCCAGTTACCAGTGGCCAAGTAAAGGCAGTTACTCCGGTAAGCTATGCTGCTTGGTGGGGATTTTCTTGTCTACCATGCTTCTCTTTCCACATCTCATATCTGAACCAGAACCACTTCATCTGTATCATCAAAATAGCTGTGTTAGTATAGACCTTATCATAGCTTAATTAGTGCTTTACTCATCTGACTTTTCCCCGTAGACTGAATTCTTTGAATGCTGGGACTTGGACTTTATCTCTTTACCCCCTCCCCCCCAGTATTTTGTACAGAGACTGGAATATAGAAATTATCAACAATCTCTAGTCAGTTAATAACAACAGTCATTGATTCTGCTATCAACAATCTCTAGTCAGTTAATAACAACAGTCATTGATTCTGATGCGTAGACATTCTCCATTGTGTTTCTGAGGCTGTAAATCTTTATAGAAGATTGTTCATCTTTCTCCAAAGGAGTAGTTGGTGGGTTTGAACTGCTGATCTAATGGTTAGCAGTGCAACAGTTAACACACTACACCACCAGAGTGCCTGATTCACCTAGTAACAGCAGGGAAACTCAGGAGAACTGAAACTTGACAGGACTGCCTTGTTTTTCCAGGTCATAAGTTTTCCCACCATTGACAGTGTGCAATCTTAGCACCTTTCTATCATTCATTTAATGCAATGTATTTGAATGTCTGGCTTGTATAGGTTCTGGCTTTTGTAGGTATGGCTGCGTATTGAAACTTCTAGATCATTATACATAAGATTTCATAACTGATCACATTTTAATATGCTTCTTGGAATGAACGCATTAGAAAGTGACACTCTGGTTCTCAAGTGGATTGGGAGAGGATACTGCAATGAACCAGTTATGGAATTATTTTAAATAATTCACCTACCCCAAGGTGTAAAAATGCCATAAATTTTCTGCTATCTGTTTTTATTCTGGCTGACTCACATAATCTTACATTTTTAGAAGAGAAATTTAAGGAAAACACTCTTAAGGATCTTGAGATGTACCTTAGGGAGGCTGTCGATCTCCTAAAAGGCCTCCATGTTAGAAGGATAGTTCAACACTGTACTAAACCAGTTACTGTCTAGTCCATTCTGACTCATGGAGACATGAGATGCTGCAGTGTGTCACTGTCTTCTATGCTGTTCAAGGTGGTAGTCCTTCAGCGGCGTATTGCCAAACATTTTGTTGGGACTGTCACTAGGTAGCTGGCAACCTTTTTGTTTGTAGTGAAGCACTTAAATGCTTTAGTCACCAATGAAAATATATTTTAAAATATTTTTAGTAATATTTTAATAGTAACTTAAAAACTTGATGTTTTAAAATAAAACACTAGGAGTTCAGGCTAGCAAAAGGATTACTTGCATCTATTGGCTATCAAAGTAATTTGATTGTGTAGATCATAACAAATTATGGCTAATAGTGAGAAGAATAAGAATCTCATTCTTTTTTTAAAACTTTGTCTTTTTTAAATAAAATTTTTTATTTTGTCATTCTAACAAAAGTTTACAGAAAAGCTAGATTTTCATTCGCTCATTGTTGCTCAAGGAATCTCATTTTTATTGTGCTCCTGCAAAACCTATACACAGACAATGAAGGAATTGTCTGAACAGAGCAAGGGAACACTGCATGTTTTAAAATCAGGACAGGTGTGAGTCAAGGTTTTCCTCTTTCTCCATACTTATTCAGCCTGTATATTGAACAAATAATTTGAGAAGCAAGGCTATATGAAGAAGAATGTGGTATCAAGATTGGAGGAAACCTCATCAACAACCTGCATGATTTTAAATGACACAGCCTTTACAAAGTGAAGAGGACTTGAAGCACTTGCTGCAGAAGAGCAAAGACTGCAGCCTTCAATATGGATTACACATCCACATCAAGAAAACAAAAATCTTTACCCAGCCATTGGCATTATCATGATAGATGAAGATTGAAGTTGTCAATTATTTCATCTTTCTTGGATCCACAATAAGCATCCATTGTAACAGCAATCAGAAAATAAAAACACATGTTTCTTTGGGGAAATCTACTGTCCAGAACCTCTCTAAAGTGGTGAAGAGCAATAATATCCATTTAAGCTATGCCTGATCCAACCGAGGGCATTTTCAGTTGATTCCTATACATTTAAAAGTTGGACAATGAATAAAGATGACAGAAAAATTGTAGTGTTGAGGAAGAGTACTGAATCCCCTGAATTGCCAAAAGAACAAACAGATCTGTCTTGGAGAAAGTGCAACCAAGGTGATCTTTAGAGGCAAGAATCATGAAACTTCATCTCACATACTTTGGACTGGCCTTTGGACATGAAAGGCTCTGTGGAAAATGACATTGTGGAAGGTAGAGGGTGAGAGAAAGGATGACTCTCAACAAGATGGGTTGACATAGTGATTGTGACATGGGCATCATGAGGAGGGCATAGGATAGGGCATCAATGTGAGTGGTAGTTGACTTGATGACATCTAACAACAACATACTAAAAGTTCACCCATTTCTCAGCATACAAAGTCTTACTTATTACCCGTTAGAGTATTAGGATAATATTCATGTGCCTAAAGATTACCAGCTAATACAATTGTTAGGCAAATTTATATACCAACTACTGATATCAAAAATGAAGATTTTTATCAGTTTCTGCCACATGAAATTGATCAAACTTACAATCAAGATGCAGTGATAATTACTTGGGGTTGAAATGCAAAAGTTGGAAACAAAGAAGAAGGATCAAGAGTTTGGAAAATGTAGCAAGGGTGATAGAAAGACACCAGATATTTCATGATAGAATTTTGCAAGATAACCCATTTATTGCATATATCTTTCTTGTTAACAGTATAATGTGGCTATACATGTGGATCTTGCTAGATAATGTTGTTGTTATGTGCTGTCAGGATGCCTGCAACTAATGGTGATCCTGTGAACAACAGATCTGAAACCTGTCCTATCTATATCATCCTCACGATCTCTGATATCCTTGAGCCCATTGTTACAGTCACCGTCAATCCATCTTGTTGAGGGTCTTCTTTTCATACTTCAATTCTCCACCTTTCCAAGCATGATGTCCTTCCTCAAGGACTGGCCCCTCCTAAAAAAATGCCTAAAGTATATGACAAAACTTCACTATCTTGGCCCAGGTTTTACTTTCTCCAGAACAGACTGACTTGTTCTTTTGGCAGTCTATGGGATGTCCTGTACTCTTCTCCAACACCACAACTCAAAGGCATCAGTCCTTCTTCTGCCATCTTTAGTCATTGTCCAACTTTAGAGCCAAAATAAGTAATCAAAAAGACCATAGCTTGGATCAGGTACACCTTAATCTTTAAGCTAAAACATCTTTGTTCTCTAGCACTTTGAAGATAACACAGATCACTGTATCAAGATAAAGAACTAGCTGGCATGAAATAATTTCAGAAGTAATTTTTGATCAACAACCAGTGGTGATAAAGGAAGAAGTTCAAATTACATGGGAAACATTAGCAAAAATAAGGCGCTCAGAATTGATGGACTACCAATTGACATGTTTCAAAAATGAGATGCAGCCCTGGATGTGCTCACTAGGTTGTGCCAAGAAATCTAGAAGTCAGCTTCCTGGCCTACAGACTTGAAGAGATCCATATATATTCCAATTCCCAAAAATGGTGATCTAACAGCATGTTGAAATTATCAAACAAGACCATTAAAATTACAAACAAGCAGAATCTTAAGATTATTAAAAAAATAGCTAGAACAGTACATTGACAGAACTGCTGGGTGCAGTATTTAGGAATTAAATTGCATCTGTGGAAAGAGATGATGGAGAACCTTATTGGACAAATCTACTGCAAAGTGGTTGGGTTTGTTTCTTTTTAGTTTTAAAAAAAAATGTCACTTTGAGGACACAAGTCATGTTATGTTCGGTTGTCTTATATGCATGCAAAAGCTTATGAGTAAGGAATGAATAAGGAAGACTGAAGAAGAATTGATGCCTTTCAATTATGATTTTGTCAGAGAATATTAATTATACCACAGACTACCAGAAGAATGAATAAATTAGTTTTGGAAGGAGCCAGCTTGGACAAGTTGTCAGGAGGTATGAATTTGAGCATAGCATACTTGGTAATAGTAGAAGGTTAGCAAAATCTCAGTGAGGTGGCTTAGCACAGTTGTTCCAATAATGGAATAAAACATAGTAATATTTTTTAAGATGGCACAAGACCAGGCATTAGTTTATTCTATTTTGCACAGGTTCATTATAAGTCAGACCTCACTTGATAGCACCTAACATATAATTCAGAGTAATGCATTATTAGTTGTCAGTGAAAACTGTAATGAAAAATGCAACAGTCAAATTGGCAAAACCAGTGAATTCATTCCTCCGTGTGTAACCCACTGATGGCCAAGGGTATCTCCCTCTCTCTGTGTCTCCCACAGTGACATAAATTTTATGTTTATTTTCAGAGGTACATTGGTTCTCAGAAACAGATCTGTGGGCTCCCTGAAGGTAGATGGACTCTAGGTTGAGAACCAACCCCTATCCCTAGAGGAAGACCCCAAAGGGAAACCAAACCTTAATCAGAAGTTATTAGGAAGCATAAATTTAGGATCTAGAGCTGCAGATTATTTGAATGGGGATTGGCCTTGGCTTTTTTGGCACAGATTGGAAGGTCTACAACTTGAGTCTTCCTGTAACACTATCTTTTTTCCCCTACCTCTGAGCTAACTAACCTCCCTTTTAATGGACACATTTTGTCTTTGAAAATGTTACCATACAGATGCAATAGCCAGCTGTAGGTCTATGTAGATTTCATGATTAAAGGAAAAATGAAGAATGAGGGGAAGGACGTCTGAATTTTCCAAAAGCTAAATTTATAAAAAGCAATGGCTTTTATTCTAAGATTGCATTCTCCTGTGCTTTCTTTTTAAATATGTCTACTTTTTCAGGTAGCATATTTTTTTAAATTACCACACCTGGCAAAATAAAATATTAAGATCTTTTATTAAATTACATAAAAATTTGTCTGATCTTTGAAATTCTGAAGTTGGGGAACCACCGTTCTTGATTCTCTGATTTATGTTCCTCTCTGCTTCTTTAAAGTGATGTTAAATCTCTCTGTTTTTGAATCTATTTTGTATTCGTTCTAAAAATTATTTGATAGATAGCCATTTTATTTTCCTAACTTCCAGATGTTTAGAAGCAACACAGTAGTACATGGTTTCATGAGGTAGGTTGCAATTTTAGAGGCAATTCCTATACCTGATATGATTAACACTTGCTAAAAACATCTTAATTACTTCCCTAAATTACCTATGTAGTCAATCTGACTGACGAGTCCTTTCTAAAGGACTTAGGTGAAATCATCTCTCATGGGTCCCGTTTTCACGTCCTCACATAATTTCTTTGTGTAGTCTGTCCTCCCCACCAGCCACTGCCCTCTTCTTGTGCCTGAGGTTTTGAAAGATTGTTTTCTTCCTACTCCAGGGCCATTATGTCTTATCAGAAAGTCAACCAGAATTGGAGGAGAAGCAGACTTCTGCACTTTCCAGTGGAGTCCAGGTTCAGCCAGCTGTGCACAGTGACACCTTGGACCCCCAGACAACTAGCCAACCACAGACCACACAGTACATCATCACCACCACCACCAATGGGAATGGAAGTAATGAAGTACACATCACTAAGCCATAATGTCTTCCGAGAGAAGCAGGCAGTCAAATCGTGTCTTTTCTCATCCAGAAATTCTCAAAGTTTTGAACATTTAGAACTCAGTTTCAAACAATTTATTATTCACTCAAGAGTTGGAATCTTCAATTTTGATGTTCATACAATGTGTTTTATTTTACCAAGGTCATTTTTACCACATAGACTATTCAAAGGCCAGGGGTTTCTGCCACAGAATGAAGATTTTTACCAAATAAACTCTTCAAATGCTAGGGGTTTCTGCCACAGAATGAAAATTTTTCAGGGCAAACTAGACTTCAAGATAAATTCTACCCTGCTCTTGAGTTGTTTCTAAAACAAACAAATAAGTAAGTCTTACTTTTTCTTTACTAATTTCTTAAAGTAGCGTATTGTATTCATATGAAAGGTGGAGAAAAGCAGTTAGTTAAATGGTTACTAGACTTCTTAATTCCAGGACTTTGCACTGAAAGAGGAGTGGTGCTGTCTGGGCTTGTGTTAGATCGGAAATACTGTGTGCCATGATTTGAGTGCCCAGTACTTAACAAAAGGAGCCTACTAAATATGAAAATAAATATAATGAAGCAAGGATATGTTAGTGATTTCTGCAGGGAAAACTGTCATTCAAATTTTTATTTCCGACTTTTAAGAAAACTTTCCCTATTCTGGGAAATGGTCTCCTGTACATGCTGACCCTGGGATGTTGAGTGCAGAGGTCAGGCTGGTCCTCAATGAGGTGGATTCCCAAGGACAGGAGAGTCTTCTAATGGCATTAGAATGTCAGCCCTGCATCACAGCTTTGCCTCCTCTGCTTGTGTCTGCACTGAGAAGGAGCTAGTGATCCAAGAAAAAACATGAAAACAATCAGTATGTAAATATATATACTTTTTTAAATTGGTAGGAAAAAATCCACCACAAACCATCATTGCTTTGCAAGATCCTATTTACTGTTTACCAGTGAAGGATGAATTTCCTATCTTTACCAGTTGACACTGAACCTTCAGTCACAGCATTCAATGTATTTTAGTACTTTTACTGCTGTCCTAAAACGAACATTCCTTAAGGTGGGATGAAAAAGCAAAAGATAGCATTGCAAGTGTCTTACATGTTAAACTTAAGCTGGACCTTTTAAAAATATGACCAACTGTCATAGGGACCATAAAATATTAAAGAATCTGGAAGAAATCTAATCTGTATAGAAAGGAAAAAATCTGCCTCAATAACAGTTTTTCTTAATGTTCTCCTTGTGGCTATGAACTTAATACAGGAAAACTATATTCCCTTTCTTTTTACTCTGCATTCCAATGGTGTGCTTGAAGCATTTCATAAATCAATATGTATTTCAGCAACTTTTTGTGGTATAGTTGCTAGCACATTTTAAAAAATAATTATTGTGTAGCAGAATTTATCACTACAGAGTAAAAGGGAAATAATTTTACATGAAGTTAGTTACATTTCTGGGCAAAAGTGGTTCTGTAAATCAAGCTTCTCCATGGTAAAGATAACTTCTGAAAAACAATTTTGTTGAAATAACTATTAATATAGAAAATATGCACTTTATTTTTGTGACTTCACTTAGTCTCCCTGAAAACTTGAGCATTAAGAGAACTTGAGAAAGTTACTTAGTTAATGTGGAGAAGCTGGCAATGGGTTCTTGGTCTCCTTTGACAACGTTTTTTACGAAGATGTTGATATTTTTAACAGAAAATACTGACAGGGAGTGACAGCACAGTGATTCATCTGTGTACGAATGTGCCATGTTTGCTTGCCTGTGCCCATCTAGAAAGACTATCTAGCTGACAAACGCTAGCCTTTTCCAAAGGTCCAGTTCTAGATCTTAGAAGTTAGGCTTGGTTTTGTTGAGTCCTTTTAAATTTGAACTAGTCAAGCATCTGTCTCTCCCTCAGGAATAATTTCTTGATTATGGAAAAGTATCACTGAATGGAATGTTCGTTTTATGCTAGTTATTTCAAGTTTTAAAATACATGAGAAAATTATTGTTGAAGAACCTCTTTGTTTATCTGCCCCTTATGTGATATAAGTAAAAACTATAAAATGAATTCATTTCTTAACAACCAGAACAGACCGATTTCAACAAAGCAAAATAACATTGTTTTAAAATCAAGTATTTTCTACATTCATCCAGAGGTAACAGATTTCAAAGAGGACTTTAATTTTAAGAGAGATAATAAGCCACCCAAAGACTCAAAAATATCTATGTAGCCAATGTCTATATTGTGACTTCTCTCAAGATACTTTACCACTGTAGAATTCACTAAGTGCAGGGCGAAAATTTGAAAGTAGGTTACATACATATAGATTTTCCATTTGCATTGTTTGGTTTTGCCCACATAAATATACTTTTCATCATGTAAAATTCCTACTTTTCTGCAAAAAAAACCTTATTATTTGATCTTATTAAACTGATTTCTGATTTGGAACTCTTAAGATAACTAGGGTTATAATGCACTTCATGAGATGCTAAAGTTAACCCACTGGATGAAATGTCGATCCTATCCTGTTATTTAAATGTGAACATTTATTGTACAGTCAGTGAATAATAGTGTTAATAGTCTTGTGCTACTCAACCGGTGTAAAAATTAATAAATATTTTTTTAAAATAAATAAATTTCTTATTTGTATATGTAAAGGTATACAAAGCTACTGACATGGTTAAGTATTACAGTTTTCAGTGTTTTTGACACCAGATCACAGCAGTCTTGTCATAGACCCAAGAGAAAGGGTTTATATTGACAACTCTGGAATAATATTTATATTTAGTGGTTTAAAGAACTTCCCAACAAAGTGACTAAGACACTGAATGCATGAGTAGAACCAATGTTGGGGCAAAGATTGTATTTTCTTTGAAAATAGTTGTTTTTAACAAGGAAAGAACCAATCCAAACAGCATGGCTAGTTAGGTTCATTGTCATATGATTCATCCAGCTGAAAATTGTGACTCTCTCTGCATGACTGATGTGAACCATTCTAAATAGAACTCAGGGAATAAAAGAAGCACTTCATTAAATACACTAAAGTTATAAAATTAAATTTATATGAATGAGTGAAATAAAAACCAGTGTGATTTGCAAACTTACACATATGCACACATAAAGAAATCAGGGACTTAGAAATGAGGGAACAATCATGATCAAGTTTAATCACTTTACTTATCCAGTGTCTCAGGTTTAGGGGCATGGTGACTCTGTTTCCAGCAGTTCTGAACCCTGCCCTATCCTTTGCCATCTGCATCTTCTCTGATATGTTTGTGGCCATTACTTCAGTCACTGTGTTATTCCATCTGGTTGAGGGCCTTCTCTTTCACTGACCCTCCACTTTTCCAAGCATGATGTTCGTTTCTAAGGGATAGCTTCTAGAAATGTGCCTAAAGTATGTGAGATGAAGCTTTGTCATCCTTGCCTCCAAGGAATATTCTGGCTGCACTTTTTCCAAGGCTTATCTCTCTGTTCTTTTGGCAGTCATGGGCTATTCAGTACTTTTCTCCAACACCACAGCTCAAAGGCATCAATTCTTCAGTCATTATTATTATTTAGCTCTCAGATACAAATCAAGTAAAGCATATCAAGTAATGATGCCTGAATCAGAAGCAGTGACATCATTGATCCTCAATAATCTGGCTTAGGGGTAGGTGGGAGAATATCACACACAAGCAAAATCTTGCTGAATATTATCCAAAATAAAAGCTGGGTTTAGAAGAGGTCATGACAATAGAGACAGTATTGCCAATGTCAGATGGATCTTGGCAGAAAGCACAATATCAGAAGAATGTCTTATCTGTGTTCATTGGCAATTCAAAGGCATTTGATAGTGTGGAGCATAATAAATTGTGGCTAACCTTGAGATTGAGAATCCCAGAATACTTGATTATGCTCATGCAAAACTTAGACCAGGAAGCAATCCTCAAAAGAGAGCAAGGAAATACTGCATAGTTCAAAATCAGTAAAGGAGTGTGTCATGTATGGGACCTGTCTCCATGAAGCTGAGGAGGACCTGAAGCTCTTGCTGCAAAAGGTTAAGGACTGCAGCCTTCATTATAGATTGAAGCTTATCAAGAAACCAAGTATTCTCACCACTGGGCTGAGTGGAAGCATCATGGTAGTGAAGAGTTTGAGATTATTAACAGCTTTAGTTTGCTTGGCTCCACAATCAACATTCTTGGTATCAGCAGCCAAACTGCATTGGGAAGGTCTTCTGTAAGGGACCTCTCCAGAGTATTGAAGAGCAGTGATGTCAGTCTGGACAGTATGGTGTGGCTGATCTAGGCCATAGTCTTTGCAATTACTTGCTATGCATCAGAAAGCTGGAAAATGACTAGGGTTGATGGGAGGAGAATTGATGCCTTTGAGCTGTGGTGCTGGAAAAGAGTGTTGAGTAACCATGGATTGGTAGGAGAACAAACAGGTTCATCTTGGAGAGGTTGAAATCTGAATCTTCCTCTGACATACTTTGGGCATGTTGCAAGGAGAGATGTCGCTAATGGACATACTGCTTGGGCTGGTAGGGAGACAGTGCAAAAGAGGAAGATCCTCAATGAGATGGATTGACTCAGTGACTAGGATAATAGGGGTAGGTCGGCACAGAAGAGAGCACGGTTCAGAGCTTTTGTACATATGATCGCTATGAGTTGCAAGCAACTCAACGGCACTTAACATTCAGGAATAGAGACATTCTGGACCAGGGAAATGTCCACTGTCACATAGTGAAAGGAGTCATTCCACTGGAGCTCAGAACAACATATTCTGATCCTTCTGGATAGATGGTTACAGAAGAACATCGGAGGAGAATTCGGCAGCTATAAATAAACATCTAAGTGGGATGGCCTGTTATGGTCAAAGATTTATGTAATTCCATTTATTACAGAGTGGTCCCTGGACCAGTTGGGGGAAATTGGGAAGTTATTCTTTCTCAGTCATTTATGTTTCCGGAGGTCCATTTAGAAAACTGTGTCTCAAAACCCACCCTTCACCTTACATCTATTTGTTTATACTGACAAAGACTATTGAAAAATGTTAGCTATCCTGCAAAGGCCCTATCTTAGACAAGCAATACTGTCTTTAAGGTACATGGCAGTATCAAGATGGAAGGGGCTGTCATTTGGAAAGGAAACTATAAAAACTACAGCATGCCTTCTAGAAGCCTTGCAAGGCTTTAAAATGGAGGTAAGGCTCTGCTTTTGACTGCCTGATTTATAGAAAACCCACGTGCCTCTGATTTTAGACTTTAACAGTTTCGAAGCCTCAGTTTCCCCAGCTGTTTGCAAGTTGTAGTTCAAAGTGCTGTGGAATGTTTGGCACAACGACAGCGCAGAGTGCTCTGCAAATGTTCAATAATAAAACCTACTCCGTTGTAGTCTGCCATCTCAATACCGCAGGTTAGCACTCTGTTCTTTCGTTAATGAATCCTAGTAAGATAATACTGGAACGATTCTCACCACTGGGCCAATTGGCAGCATCACTTTGGTTCCACAGTCAACACTCTTGGTAACAGCAGCCAGGAAATCAGGAGAGGAACTGCATTGAGAAAGTCAGCTGTGAGGAACCTCTCAAGAGTACTGAAGAGCAATGACATCAGGTTGGAGACTAACGTGCGCCTGATCCAGGCTATAGTCTTTGCAATTACATGCTATGCATCGGAGAGTTGGACAGTGAATAGGGATGATGGAAAGAGAGTTGATGCCTTTGAGCTGTGGTGCTGGAGAAGAGTGTTGAATATACCATGGACTGTTAGGAGAACAAACAGGTTTGTCCTGGAGAGGGTGAAGCCAGACTGTTCCCTGGAGTCAAGGATTCTGAAGCTTCGTCTGACATACTTTGGGCATGTTGCAAGGAGGGACTGTTCCTTGGAGAGGGACATGATGTTTGGGAGAGCGGAGGGACGGCGCAGGAGAGGAAGACCGTGGATGAGATGGATCGTTTCTGTGAATGGAGTGGTGGGAATGAGTGTGTTTGAGTTGGCGAGATTGGCACAGGATAGAACGGGCGTTTAGGGCTCTTGTACATAGGGTCACTATGAGTCGCAAACGACTCGATGGCACATAACAACAACAACAGCAACCATCAGACAGTCCCTAAATTAGGTGATCCCTACGGTCAGCGAGCGGGCGGGGCCCTCTGGATCACGGTTCTCATGCTCTGTTAGTCCTCGGTACTCCAGCCCCGCCCCTGCCTGGTCCGATCACGCCCCCACAAAGTCTAGACCCCACTTCACCATAACCACTCCCCCTTCCGTTCTCTAGGCTCGTCCATTGCAGCTCCAGGATGAGTGCTCTTCAGGCCCCGCCTCTCGCAACCCAGCTCCTGAGCCTCAAGCCCCGCCTCTGGATCCTTCAGCTGGCAGCTGCCTGGGGCTCTCACGACTCTTCATGGGTCACTCCCCATGCACTTCCGGCCCGCCCCCTCATCGTGCCACCTCTTCCGGCGCCGAACTCCGAACGTGCACGTTCTGGGTCGTCTTGCGAGAGCGAGCCTTTCGGAGACCTGTGGCCCTCAGAGGGGGGCTTGTCCCAGGTGAAGGTGGGTCGGGACGGGCGGAGAGCTGAAGGGTCTCCAGGGATTGCTGGGAGGGAGCTGCTGGGCCTCAGAGTGACAGCGCTGATTGCCGCCGGAGCGGGGGGCCGGAGAGGGTGGGTGTTAGTAAAAGCAGGGTTGGAGGAGGGGACAGGGCGGGCGGTGTGTTCTTAAGGCAGGATCTTGGGCGAGGGCGAGGTCGGACCTGGAGTTTGCTTTAGGCTGGGGGAATTTTAGGACTGGCGGTTTTACAGCCAGCCCAGGATTTATCCTTTGCTTTAGAGAGGGTCCAGTCGTCAACTCCTCTGCCCAGGTGGAGCGGCAGGGCCTTTGGAAGAGGCGCTAGGACGCCGCACCACGTAGAAACGCTTGGCTTCCGGGTTTCCGCACCCTGATGACTGCTCGTTTTTTGTATTTTGAGACCGAGGTCAATAGTGGTTGTAACTGGGATAGGTTTAGTTTAACTGGTGTCCACCCTGGTGAGATTTACAGGCAGAGGTGATGCCTGCAGGAGTAACGGAAAACGCAAACATTGCAGCTACTGCCTGCTGCACTGCAGCCTAGGGAGAGAGCCTACTCTGAGCATTGGTTGGTTTGTTTCTTCACTCCTGGGTTAACTTTGAGCAATAAAACTCATAAGCCACATGATCAGTTTGGTTCTTTATTTAGGTACCCTCCAGCTGAGTGCAAATTATAGCTACCCTATGAACAACAAATCTGAGACCCGGTCTTTTCTCTGCCAACCTCATAATCTAACACAGCCAAGCCCATGGTCAATCCATTTGGTTGAGGGCCTTCCCCTCCTAGGACATCCAACCATCTTTCCAAGCATGAGAGCCTTCTCCAAAGAATAGCTTCTCTTTCCAACATGGCCCTAAGTATGGGCCTTGCCTCCAAGCATCACTTTGGCTTCACTTTCTCCAAGCCATCCTTGATTGTTCTTTTGGCAGTGTGTGGGTTATTCAGTACTCGTCTCCAATAACACAGTTTAGAAGCATCAGCTGCATAGCAAGGGATTGTAAAGACCATGGTCGGAATCAGGCGCATCTTTAGTCTTCAGCTTAGCATCATTGCTCCTAATTAATTTGGAGAAGTTCCTGACTGCAGACTTCCACATCACAATACGTTTCCTGAGGTCCTGCCTGCAGGGACCCATAATGTTGATTGTGGATCCAAGTAAGATGAAATTCTTGACAGGTTCAGATGTTTATCTGTCTAGTGGGAGAATTTTTGTTTTTTGACGTTGAGATTCAGTCAGTATTGAAAGCTACAGTGTTTCATCTTCTGCAGCGAGTACTTTAAGTCCTCCTCACCTTCAGCCAGCAAAGTTGTGTCATCTGCATAACGAAGGTTATTGATGAGTCGTCTGCCAATCCTGATGCTGGTTTTTTAGGCAGCAGGAGATGTAATTTTACCACATGCGGAAGGATTTTGGGGCGCAGTTGCTCGAGAGTCACTCTAACCTTTTTACAGAGATTGGAAATCTCTTCAAGGGAATTTAAAGTAGTGTAAAGGTGCTTTATTTTAGAAATAGTGTAACAATCTATTTCATTTGAGAGTGTTGACAAAAACAGATTCCTAAAAAAATATATATATATAAAAACCACAAAAAAAACCCCAGATTCCTGCCTTAGCGGTTATTAATCTATAGATAATTTATTGTCAAATTACAAAATTTGAAATAACTAAAGTGAACCTGGTTTACTTTCCCTTTAGAGAAGGAAATAGACCCCTACAGAGTTAAGATTTGTGTCATGTCATGAAAAATCAGCAGCAGACATGGACTATAAAGTTGATGTTTTGTCTTTTTGAGTCTACTCCCCTTTCCACAGTTTTGCTCTTTTGTATTATTTTCTGTAAGGAAAAAAAGGAACTAGAGAGGATGGATATATAGTAAGTAGCTGACCCTGCAGTGGGCTTTCAGAAGCAGTAAATTACATGGGAAGAGATGACCATCCTCCTCCCATGGAGCAACTGGTGGCTTTAAACTGCTGCCCTCTGGGATTCTTGCAGAGCTTCTTAACACTAGGCCACCAGACCTTGGTGTTTTAGTGGACAAATGCTTGCCTGCTATCTTCAGGGTTAGTGGTTTCAGCCCACCAGCTTCTCTGTGGAGCAGTTCAACTTTGTCCTGGAGTGTCACTTTGACTCAGATTTCATTTGATGGCAGTGGGTTGGTTGGTTTGGTGGTCCTGTTAACTTTACTTAATCCTGTGGCCTGAGTCTTATGTCTGATTCCAGTAGTTGGCTTTATGAAATGCACTCAAAAGTGTTTTAATTTGCTCTTTTTTGAAGGTAAAGAAGCTTTTGTTGTGCTGCTAACAGAATGAGTGGTGGTTTGGATCCACCAGCTGCTTTACAGGGAATATCTCTCCCTTTAAAGATAATATAGTCCTGAGAGGTTGGAGGGGGTAGGGGAAAAGTGGATAGATAATGAACCCTGCATTGGAACAGATGAGAGAAAGAACTGTTTAAAAACAATTAGGCATTATATGTGTGTGTCATCATTCCAGAGCAAGAGATGCATGGCAAAGTGCACTAGGGGAGAGGGAGGGAGGGAGGGAGGAAAATATACAACAATCAATGAATTAAAATAAGAGTGTGTAAATGTTGAGAGTAAACTCAATCAGAAGTGAGTGTTTTTCTCCCCATAAAGATAATTTGCAGTGCCAGTTGTTATAGGAAGAACACATTCCCTTAAATTCACATGGTTATATAGATAATGTGAGCTGACTGAAGGCAGGTTGGTTATGGACATTACTGGTTGTCATGATCAGATACTGGAGTCTCAAGTTTATGTGGATTAATAAAGTCATGATAGCATAATATATCCTGTTATCTTAGGAGTTAGTATGAGAGCTTTCTGAGAAATAAGAAATTTACCAGGTAAGTTCTGGAGATTAATTTGGAAATGCATTGGTGTGAGGGCTGGAGAGGAGCTGTTTAGTTGTAGTCATGGCATAAAATCAGAATAGATGAGATTATGGAAAAGTATTGTTTTCCAGGCCCGTCTGTTTCCTGCAGGCATACACTGACATCAGCCAGACTCGAGTTTCTGCCTTTCTGTCTGGATGGTAAAAATGATTGAGGACTCAGCTACTAAGTGAAAAGTTAGCAGCTTGAGTCTTACAGGAACCTTGGAAGAAAGAACCGATAATGTAATAGGTCAGTCAGTGAAAATCACCTGGAGTACAGTTTTGCTTTTGACACATACTCCAGTCAGCTTCCATGATCAGAGCTGATTCAGTAGCATCTGGTTTGATGTTTTAATTTTATTTCAGGGTCTCACTGAATCAAAACCTGTGGAGAAGAAACAATGGATTCCTTAGACCATATGCTTACAGATCCCCTGGAACTGGTTCCATGCAGCGATGGTCATGGCACTCGCATTATGGAGGACTGCCTGCTGGGAGGCACCCGGGTCAGCCTGCCTGAGGACCTCCTGGAGGATGTAAGCCCTGACCTTGTCTCAGTCTTTTCCTCTGTCCGCTTCCCCAGAGGAGCTCTTCTACACCTGCTCTCTTCAAGCTTCAGTCTCTAGTCCTCCTTTCTGTTTCCCTATATTGCGAGTAGAGTAGTGCCGTGTTTTTTTTCTTCTTTCACTTTAATTATCAAGTTTATTGAATATTCTAATGAAAGGATAGGCCATATGCTACATGTTGAATAACATGTTAAAATAACTTAGTAATATGATATAAGCCCCAATTTTTAACAAGATAATTTCTGTGGGTTAAGAAATTTCAAATTTCAGGAGCAGAATTATCTGTATACTTACATTAAAATGTCCCTGGTTGGTATAATTGAAAGGTTTTTGATTCAGACCTACTGAGAGGGGCATCAGGACAAAGGCCTGCCAGTCTGCTTATGCACAGTCCTAGACTTAGAAAACCTATGGAGCAGTTTCTCACAGCAGCTTGTGATGTTGCCATCAGCTTAATGGCCACTGGTGTGGATTGTTTTTTTTTCTTCTTTTCTGTTTTTCCTTTTACATTGCAGTGATTACCTGTGTTATGAATCATTAAAGAAAACTCAAGCGTAATTGCCTGTGTTGATAAGGTAACCCTGGCTGAATTGATAGTACATGCCCTGGGATAGCTTGCTGTTGACCATGTTCCTGAGCAGGATGGTACATGCATCATAATGTACATCTTTTTTGCTGAGCGCTTGCTCTGTATATGGCATTGTATGAGCTCAAAGATGTTTATTGATTTGTTTACTTTGGCACATTTCAAATATAGGCAGGTGTAGAGAAAGACCTAAAAGGAGCCCCGCTGGTACAGCAATCAAAAGTTTAGCTGACCAAGAGGTTAACAACTCCAACCCACCCATTGGCTCCACAGAGACCGGTTTGCGTCTGTGACTAGTACAGCCAGAAAACCCTTTGGGATAGTTTTCCTCTGTCAGCAAATGGTAGCTGTAAGATGGAATCCACCTGATGGCTCTGCCTGTAACAGTAATAGATAATAATATAGTAATAGTACTCATCTGCACATCACTCACAATATGGATTGAGGCTCAATGTCAAGAAGACAAAGATTCTCACCACTGGACCAATTGGCAGCATCAGGATGGATGGTGAAGAGATTGAGGTTGTACACAGCTTTAGTTTGCTTGGCTCCATAGTCAACAGTCTTGGCACCAGCAGCCAGGAAATTAAAAGGTGCATTGCCATGGGAAAGTCTGCTGTTAGGGACCTCTCCAAAGTACTGAAGAGCAATGGTGTCTCTCTGGAGACTAAGGTGCGTCTGATACAGGCCATGGTGTTCGCAATCACTTGTTATGCATCAGAGAGTTGGACAGTGACCAAGGAGGATAGAAGGAGAATTGATGCCTTTGAGCTGTGGTGCTGGAGAAGAGTCTTGAGAATACCATGGACTGCTAGGAAAACAAAACATATTTGTCCTGGAAAGGGTTAAACCGGGTGGCTCCTTGGAGACAAGGATTCTGAGGCTCCATCTAACATACTTTGGACATGTTGTGAGGAGAGACCGGTCCTTAGAGAGGGACATCATGCTTGCGAGAGTGGAGGGACAGCGCAGGAGAGGAAGGCCCTCTATGAGGTGGATTGATTCAGTGACTGATAATTGGGATGGGAGTGTCAGAGTGCGATTGGCACAGGACAGAGCGGAGTTTAGGGCTGTTGTACATAGGGTCGCTATGAGTCGCAAGCGACTCGACGGCACATAACAACAAAACAACAACACATCACTCAGCTTTAGGAGATAATTAATCATCATAAACATATAAAAATGTGATTTGTGTGTTTTCTTAAATGCTTATTTTGATGTCAAACATTATAGATAAGTTTGAAGCTGCCATTATGCCCTTGTCTAATCTCCCCAGTCTGAGGCAACAGTGGTACTGAAGTTGATACATACCCATCTCACCCCATTTTTTCTTAGTTTTGAGTTTTCTTTCAGCTAAATCTCTTGACCATTCACTTAGCTAGTGGCTTGTTTTATTGAGTACCTACTCTTGGCCAGCCAAAGAGTTAGATGATAGGAATACACTAGTGAGCAGAATGAGTTTGCAAGGGGAGATCTTGAACATAGAGTCTGAGACACTTTTGATTTATGCATGTAGAAAGATCTAGGAGGTGGTTGGATTTCTCGGCTGCTTCTCCTTCAGTGCATCACAGTTGTCTTTAGGATAAAGTCATATCTATGTAATGTGTTTCTCAGCTAAGTCTCTTGCTACTCTTTCTGCTGTGTGTTGCCTCACTTGTCTCTCCTAATTGCTCCAACTAAATAGCATCTTAGATTGTTTGTTTTTTTTTTTTAATACAAGCGAAATATAACACACATAAAAAGTGTGTTTTAGTTGTTTACTACTGCTGTAACAATAATACCACGGTGGAGGTCTTTAACAAATGTGTTTTCTCATAGTTTAGGAGGCTAGATGTCCAAGTTGAGGGCACTAACTCTAGGGTAAAGCATTCTCTCTGTTCTCAGGTCTCACTCAGGTTTAGGAGATAATTTTTTTTTTCATTGTAAATTTTTTTTTTTT